TCGCAGTATCTTGTATGTCGTTATCATGTCTCCCCTGCCCCTTCTGTCCTCCAGTGTCGTCAGTCCGATTTCCCTTAACCTTTCCTCGTACGACATTCCCTTGAGCTCTGGACTAGCCTTGTTGCAAACCTTTGTACTTTCTCTAACTTCTTGACGTGCTGACCAGGTGGGGTTTCCAAAATGGTGTGCATACTCCAGAAATGGGCCAAAACATACACAGTGTACAGTGTCTTGAACGATTCCTTATTAAGGTATAGGAACGCTATTTCTCAGGTTTGCCAGGCGCCCGTATGCTGCAGCGGTTATTTGGTTGATGTGTGCCTCCGGTGATGTGCTCGGTGTTATGGTCCCCCCAAAGGTCTTTCTCCCTGAGTGGGGTCTGTATTTCCTTTGTCCACCTAGCCTATACTCTGTCTGCGGTCTTCTTTGCCCCTCCCCAATCTTCATGACTTTGCATTTGGCTGGATTGAATTCGAGAAGCCAGTTGCTGGACCACATGTCCAGCCGTCCAGGTTTTCTTTGCAGTCCTGCCTCATCCTCGTCCGTTTTTAATTTTTCTCATCAACTTCACGTCATCTGCGCGGGACACCCCCGGGGAAACTATTCCTTCCATCATGTGTTCACATATACAAAAATGCACTGGTCCTAGAACTGACCCCTGTGGGACCCCGCCGTAACGGGCGCCCACGTGAACCCTCTTCAGTACCATGACCTTTTGCGCTCCCGGGTCGGGTTTTCCCTTACCTTTGCAGTCCCCCCTTTTACGTGCCCCTGATCCCCCGTTTCTGCACAAATCTTTTTGGGAACTGTGTAAAAGGCCCTTCCTGCAGTCTAGGAAAACGAAATCTACCCCCCCCTCCCCCGTGTTTACTTCTTTTACCTTGTCATAAAACTCCGGGAGGTTTGTAATACAAATTTGTTTTCCAAAACCCATCTGGTTTTCATTTATAATCTTGTTCCTTTTCAGGTGGGCCCCACTCTCCTCCTGATAATCTTCTCCATGATTTGCAACAAACATGTAGAGACACGGGTCTGTTTTTTTTAAATGCCTCGTTCTGTTTCCTTTTTTAAATAGGGGGACTACATTAGCTGTTTCCATTTCTCGGGTATTGCCCAGTTTCAACGGATGTGTTGAAGTTTGTGGTTAGGGGCCGCACAGCATCTCTGCCCTTCTCTAAGGACTAGGCTCCCTCTCAACGGGCATCTATCATTAACTGCTTATTCTCCAAACCCTCAATAAATTCTTTTAAATCCCCATAAATGCGTTATTCTAATTTGATAGCTCGAGGAGAGTGCCCCCCAAATTCCACTAGAGACTGGTGCTGACCCAATGCAACTCAAACTGGGTGAATTTTACTGCGGCTGGAGGGAGAAATTTACGTCCTCCTGGATCCCATATGAAAAGCTTGATGCTTCCGGTAATTTTCCACTATTCCCTAGGCACTGTGGTCTTAGCTCATCTTTTTTTCACTCACTGTATTTACTGACACTTTTTTAAATATCCTTTATCTCCCTGGTCCCTTTGGGCGCACTTTTCTTCAAAATACCCCACTACTTTTATGGCAACACAATTTAGGCCTACACAACCGTTCACCCTTTTCCCAAGGCCCCCCCTAAACACTTAGTTTATTCCTTTTTTTTTTTTTCTGTGAAACCCTTTTATTTCCTTTTTCGGGGCTTGTATTTGCCTCTTGCGTGCCACCCCCATACCCAAATCCCCTTTTCCTTATGGACAGTCAAAATTACCCCCAAAAACGAGCCAAACCGCGTGACTCCTCCACGAGTGGTGTTGTGTGTGTGTGTGTGTGGGAGTGTGTGGTGTGGGTTTTGTGTGTGTGTGTGTGTGGGGGTGTGTGTGTGGGTGTCGGGGTGTGTGTGGTGTGTGTGTTGGGGGTTGGTGTGTTGGGGTGTGGGTGTGTTGGTGGTGTGTTGTGTGTACCACCTAGTTGTACCACCTGTTTTAGGTTACGGGGGGGATCCAACTCCTGGCCCATCTCTTCACTGGTCGCTACTAAGGGGTTCCCCTAACCGTGAGCTTTACATACCCTGCTTAAACATGTATGGGTCCCCCCCTCCACATCCTGATACTCGTGGGGGAAAAATACTTTTTAACATCCCCTTTATTCACTGGTTCTTCAACTTCCAACTGTGTCCCCCTTTTTGCTGCGCCCATCTCTGGGAAAATCCTGTTTTTGTCCCTTCCAATTTCTCTCAGTATTTTGTATGTCGGTTTCAGTCCCCCCCCTTTTCCCCCTGTGTTGTGTGTGTGTGTTGGGGTGTTGGTGTGTGTTGGGGGTGTGTTTGTGGTGTGTGTGTGTGTGTGGTGGTTGTGTGTGTTGTTGTGGTGTGTGTAATCAGGGGAACCTGCTCAACTTTTAGCCTTCCCCCGCACCTCTTTTTGCCATCACTTGGGTCGGATTCCGAGGTTTTTTTTCTAATTAGTCACAAAATTACCCTGATTTTTCAGTCCCCGAAGGGCTGCTGCAAACCGTTTTTTTGGAAAGGCATCACAGCCAAAGGCAGAACCAAAGGCCACGAAGGTATATAAAGAACCACAGCCTTGGGATGGTACATTGAACCACACCCTCATGGAACACCCCTTCATAAAACTGAAATTCGTGACACCTCGGTTTTCTCTCTTTGACTTCCTACAGATCCACCCAAGCGTCTTAGATGTTCGTTCTCCCTCGTCCGGGTTTTGAACCCCTGGTTTAAGGTCAAACTTTCCCAAATTAAACCACGAGGTCTAACCGGTATTATTTTAAACAATCCTTACTTCCATTTGCTTTTTTTCGGGTTTTTTTAAAAAAATTCAGTTTAACAAAAACTTTTTCGATCTCCTAGATTTTAATTTATCGACCCATCCCATTTTAAAGAAGTACTACTGACAGCAAAAATGTGTATTATAATATGCGTCCCAATAGGGGAACTTTCGATCTGGCTTAAAAATTTAAAGCTCATCTTGCCAAAGGGGGAAAACGAAAAATTTGTGTAAAAGCAATAATTTCTCCAAAATCATTCTGAACCTAAAGAAAAAAAAAATATTTTCCCGGTTTGTTTTTTGTATAAAAAAGGAAACAAACTACAATAATATAGTTTAATTAGGGTAAAAAAAAATTTTTAGTTGTTAAATAAGTTTTTAAGTTTTCTAAATTCCTTTGGTGCAAAAATTTAAATTTTTTACATTTTAAAATTAAGAAAAAAAAATATCTTTTAAAATATAAGAGAAAATTTTGAAAGGACTTAATTTTTTTAAAGGTTCTTGCTAATTTACCTTTTTAAAATTCGGCACGACATTTATATATATATATATATTATATAATTATATATATATAATATAAATATAATATATTATATTATATATATATAATATATATATATATATATTAAAAAAAACACATATAATATATATATATATGTGTATGTATTAATATGTAAGTAGTATTTTAACTCAGCCAAAATTTTTTGGCGAAGAAAAGCCTGAGCTTGCTACCATCTGCAGCTCACCCCGATGCCATCCCCACGGCCCCCTTTGGGGGGGGGCAGATGGAACCCAAAGGCCCGCTTCCCCTGCGAGCCCCTGAGGCGGGGGAAAGTGGGTAGGCCGGGGCCCCTTTTGGGCCAAAGTAGGGGGGGATTTTTACCTCCTCCCATGGGAGACTTTGGTCTCGAGACCCCCAGATAGGGAGCCAAGGCCGGGTCACAACACTTGAAAAAGACCCGGGCCGGGAGAGTACGGGAGAATAAAAAAAAAAATATCTTGGAGTATAAAAGATTGCCACATGTGTATACAATCTGCAACAGTATCAATAGCGAAGAGTCTATGTACAGTGAAATTAAGATTCGTACCATTTTGAAGGGTTTTGCATGACTTTCCGGAATTCGCCGGCGATAATTTAGAGCTGCAGTAACACCTGATTGTCACGAGAACCAAGAACATAGATAGTATCGCCAGGAGCGTATCGGCTGGTAATGTCAGTTTCTTTGTCTAGGATGAGTACCGTGAGAAGTGTCGTGAGACCGTGATTGTTCACTCAGTAGACAGTCATGTGGCGACGCTTCTGTACCAAGAAGTCTACCGTATTTAAAACCATTTTTATGCCTATAATATATATACATATTTATATATATAATATATATATTATATATTTATATATATTTATATTATATATGTCGTGCCGAATATGTAAAACTGGTCAATTAGCAAGAACTCATTTAAAATTAAGTCCTTCTAAAATTTCTCTTTACGTTCTAGATATATTTTTTTCATTAATTTTGAATGTAAAAATTTTTAATTTTCCCCCAAAGGAACTTAGAAAACTTACCTAACCTTATTATAACAAGAAAAATTTATTTTAGCCTAACCCATCTAAATTTATTTAGATTTGTTTAAAATAATTTAATACTAAACAAACACAGTGAAATATATTTTTTTCGTTAGGTTCAGAATGATTTTGGCGAAATTATTGCATACACAAATTTTCAGTTGTCCTATATGGCAAGATGAGCGTTGCTATTTAACCAAGATCGCAAGTTCTGCCTATTCGGCACGAATATATATATATATATATATATTTATAAAATATATGTATATATAATATATATATATATATATATATATATATATATATATTTTATATATATATAAAATATAATATATATAACATATATAAGTATTATTCAACTTCCAGGCACTTTCGTAATTTCTCACATTAGCAAGGAACTGATAGAATTAGAAATTCTTGATAATGTCAGAAATCGACTGTATAGATTGAAATGTCTTGCCATTTTTGCAGTATGTTCAGACAGAGGATGAACGATCCTGCAGAAAAAATCTAACCTTCAAAACCAATGACCTTCACCTTGGCCACTCTTGATGATCACAGAGGCGGAGCCACACGGCAACAATCTCCTGACGCGGCTATATATATAAGATCAGGACCTCGCACCCAACCAGTATTTGGGTCCGTTTCCTCGAAAACCCTTTTCCCAAAACCCAAACCCAGTAAAACCATTGCTACCCTCCAGACCACGACATTTCCAGTATGAAATTTGTGAGTACGTTCATCGATACATTCTTTCCGCGATCTTTTTATTTCATATCTCCAGTGTCGTGGACCTGGATCCTCAGCAGGGAGAGACGTACCTGGGAACACGTCTATAGGGACTTGCTGTGTGCGGCTTTCTGTTTTCGAACCTTTATTAAAAACTGCTATTAGAAACGGCACCAGGAATTGCAATCTTTCCTGCGTTTTGGTGAGCCCTGCATCTTATACCACTCCTCAAGGGAGGTTCCTTGACGCTGGTGAGGGGCTCTTGATCTAGGGAATTGGATATGCGCTCCAGTTCCCTAAAATAAGCCTGAATACCTTCGAGTGCCCTCTCTCACAGGCGCTGTATGATGCATAAGGGTTTAGCGCTCCCCATAATAATAATAATAATAATAATAATAATAATAATAATAATAATAATAATAATAATAATAATAATGATAATAATAATAATAATGATAATGTAACTAATACCGTGTTTTTTTTCACGGGATATCAATGTAATTGTGCTATTGAAGGGGCGCATTCGGCCCGCGGAACGCCTTGCACGCTCGGCTTACTACCGAAGAGACGTGTTGAACCCTTCTCGCGGTGGCAAGTACAAGTATAGGCAAGTTTTCTACTACCTATTGCCCCATGTTGCTCTACAGTAAATAGATATCTGCTGTACTTACCTAATTGCGGTTGCAGGGGTCGATTCATTGAAAAAAAAATTGTGGGTTGCGTCCTTGAGGAGGACTTAAAAGGGAGTCCGATAATTGACTTTATTAGTTAAATAATCGCAATAATGTCTCTTTCTACGCCCCATGTCCTTGTTCATCATGCAGTAAATAGGTGCCAAGGCATTAATTAGTAGCTGTAAGCAGCGTAGATAAATGGTTTAGAGAAACGAGAAGTTGATAAATTAGACACATGTGCAACACTTGTTGCACATGTGCCTCCTTATACCTTTCTGCTTTGTGTTGGACTGATGTAATCGGTTCTCTCAGTCTTTTCAAGACTGATTACATCGACTCCAGGCTCAGGGACTGACTACCCTAAACTCCTTCTCATCTTCACTATTCTTATTTGTATAGGACTGATGAAGCCACCTTGTGGCGAAACGTTTCCGCAATAAAGATACCCAAGTGTATCATATGTGCCTAATTTATTAGCTGTAAGTGGCACCGTGTACCTACTTTTCTAGCTGTAAGTGGTAAAGTGCCTGAAACTTCAGTAAGACCAGGGTTACCCTTCTGAAACACTCCAGTAGTGGTCCCTAGATGAGGGTTACTCCGGGGACTTGGACCTGACCTTCCCTAGATACTAGTTACTCTAGGGAACTGGACCTGACCTTCCCTAGATACTGGTTACTCCAGGGAACCGGACCTGACCTTCCCTAGATACTGGTTACTCCAGGGAACTGGACCTGACCTCTTCTAGATACTGGTTACTCTAGGGAGCTGAACCTCACCTTCCCTAGATACTGGTTACTCCAGGGAACTTGATCTGACCTTCCCTAGATACTGGTTACTCTAGGGAACTGAACCTCATCTTCCCTAGATACTAGTTACTCTAGGGAACTGGACCTGACCTTCCCTAGATACTGGTTACTCCAGGGAACTTGACCTGACCTTCCCTAGATACTGGTTACTCTAGGGAACTGGACCTGACCTTCCCTAGATACTAGTTACTCTAGGGAACTGGACCTGACCTTCCCTAGATACTGGTTACTCCAGGGAACTTGACCTGACCTTCCCTAGATACTGATTACTCTAGGGAACTGGACCTGACCTTCCCTAGATACTGGTTACCCTAGGGAACTGGACCTGACCTTCCCTAGATACTAGTTACTCTAGGGAACTGAACCTCACCTTCCCTAGATACTAGTTACTCTAGGGTACTGGACCTGACCTTCCCTATATACTGGCTACTCTAGGGAACTGGACCTGACCTTCCCTAGATACTGGTTACTCTAGGGAACTGGGCCTGACCTTCCCTAGACACTGGTTTCTCCAGGGTAAGCTGGATCTGACCTTCCCTTCCTAGGATGAAACCTGATTGTATCACGTTCTCCCAGGCGCTCTGCGGTCTCTATTAGTTTGGCGTCCTTCCATGAACATAATAACAAGATAATTCTTGTAGTCAATACATAAGAACATATGAAAGGAGGAGCACTGCAGCAGGCCTACTGGCCCATACTTGGCAGGTCCTTTTCAAACCCAAACCCACTAACAAAATATTCGTCCAACCCATTAACACTATTTCTCTCTTAGCTGTCTAAAACAATGGTCACTCTTCCTTGTATTTCCAAAAAATAATGGTCATACGTCCATTGGATTTTACTATAAAAACGAACACTAATTTTTTTTTTCAGCAAATTTATACAACTTTAATTGTAAGAATTGCCTCGTTTTCCACTGGGGAAGCATTGACATCATAAAGGCAGATCCTGCTTATACAGCACGTTAGGTGCTGCGCTACTGTAGGACCCCGCTTATACAGCAGGTTAGGTGCTGCGCTACTGTAGGACCCCGCTTATACAGCAGGTTAGGTGCTGCGCTACTGTAGGACCCCGCTTATACAGCAGGTTAGGATCTGGGCCACTGTAGGGCCCCGCTTATACAGCAAGTTAGGTTCTGGGCCACTGTAGGGCCCTGCTTATACAGCAGGTTAGGATCTGGGCCACTGTAGGGCCCCGCTTATACAGCAGGTTAGGTTCTGGGCCACTGTAGGGCCCTGCTTATACAGCAGGTTAGGTTCTGGGCCACTGTAGGGCCCCGCTTATACAGCAGGTTAGGTTCTGGGCCACTGTAGGGCCCTGCTTATACAGCAGGTTAGGTTCTGGGCCACTGCAGGGCCCCGCTTATACAGCAGGTTAGGTTCTGGGCCACTGCAGGGCCCCGCTTATACAGCAGGTTAGGTTCTAGGCCACTGCAGGGCCCCACTTATACAGCAGGTTAGGTTCTGCACTACTGCTGTAAAGCAAAATTCTCTATAAAGTGACGCATAGCCTTTTTTCACTTTCAGATGGATATAAAAGCCTGGTAACATGTTTACATTATCATTTATTAAGTGAGCAACAGAGCTAGGCCTAAAAAAATGAATATAGAGTATATATATTACTTACCTTAATATATTTTCGTCCTTAGCTTATAGTGAGTGGTGAATATATATATTTATTGTAGGAAGTCTGAATAAATGAAGAATGGGAATAATTGAAAACCGCCGCATTAGCGAAACGTTATAAAACAAAGTGCTGTAAAGCGGGACTTGTCTGTATTTTATCGAATATGAACAAATAATTGGGATTTTCATAAGCACTGGAGATACGTAGGGAATGAAGAAGAGGAACATAATGTGCATTATATCATAGCTTTACGGGCGTCAGCGGCTCCATCATCATGAAATACCTGGTAAAAGAAACACAAATGCAGAATAATGCGATCCTTCACTGTTCACGTTTAGCCCACACTGTGGCCTCTATAGAGTCACAAACATTTGTATTGTAAATGGCTTAGAAACCCGACATGTGTCTCCTTCTTCAAAAACATTTGTTTCTTGATAAAGCCTCTGTGTCTCACTGCGATTTCGTATCAGCATATTTTTTACCATCTCTCTCCAACATAAAATACATTTTAATAACACATCACTTTATCATTTACGAAAGGAGAGTAAATCAGCATATATTTTCTTTCATTATTTTCAGTTGTTCCTTGTGTCGGCAGTGTTGATGGTCGCCTTAGTAGGGTTGATCTGGGCCCTGCCTGGCCCTGACGCTGTGGCCGATCCAGATCCTCAGTTTGGATTTAGTGGTCGTGGATTTGGCTATCGTGGTTTCGGAGGTGGATTTGGTCATCGCGGATTTGGTCATCGCGGATTTGGACATCGCGGATTTGGACATCGCGGATTTGGTCATGGAGGATTTGGCTATAGAGGATTTGGTTAATCCTGAGGTGCGTTCTTCCCAACTGCCTCTCCACCCCTGATTAGTCTCTCCAGTTCGATGGCTTTTTTCGACGAAAGTAAACAACAGTAATTAACGTCTAACGAAGCAAAGGACAAAATTAGAATCCTATAGCCATTGAGCCAAGTGTCTAAGAAAAACATGATCTGGATACATGGAGGATGCTTTGTATACTGGAGTACACCCAGGTTCACTACTGGAAGGCATCCAGCACGTTATCCTCAGCATCCAACTCCTCTAGCAATCCAACTCCTCCAGCATCCAGCTTCTCCAGTATCCAGCTTCCAATATCCAACTCCTCCAGCACGTCATCCTCAGCAACCAACTCCTCCAGCATCCAGCCTCCAACAACCAATCTCATCAATCTCTAGCAACTCCTTGAGCGAAACGCTGGGGTTAACCAACACTTACCTCTCTTTCCTTCTCGTTTATTTGTAACTACCGAACTGATTAGTAATTGGCAGAATCACTAAAAAATAAATATTTTTTAATATATTGAACTTTACTTTACATCTTATAAAAAAGAACTTTACAAAATTTGAAGATATAACGTCAGTCACAACAAATATAAATAATACATTATTTAAATCAGATATACACATAAATGCTTGTACATGTATAATACATGTATGATACATGATGACTGATCACTTTTATCTCTTCAAAATATAATTTACAAATAAAAGAAATAGGTGACGTTACTGACATATTTATGGAAAATTTCAGGTTATGGAAAGCATTTCGGGCAGCCTTCAAATTAGCTTATAACTTATTATAACTTATAACAACTTCTGGATTTTTTTTTGTCAATTCAATAAAAAAATGGTATAATGTTTGCAGTGGTTATCACAAATGTTGGTCAAATTCAAACGCAAATAATAATCTGAATTTCAGTTTTACTTCGCAGGAATTCAACGAAGCTGAAAAACCACAGATAACAAAGCACAAAATTTTGACTTTACTGAACTTAAAACTGGTCCAGTTTTATGTCATAATTTTTATTTTTTGTTTCTTCTTTGAGGATTTAATGCACAATATTAGAAGGAACTTAAAAATATATACAAGTTACGCTTAATTCGTAATAGATTCACAATAATAAATATAATTGTCTAGTTTAGCTGGGTGTGAGAGGTACTAGTAACTTATTGTATTGTAATACAATACGTACATGTTGTATTACAATGCAACATGAGATAGTATATGATTATCATACAATAAATGAGAAATGAAAACAAACTGAAAAAAAAGATGAAAGAAGAGGAAAAACAAGGTTAGGATTGAATGAAAACAGGTTTCAGGATTTGTTTATTGTAGGATATTGCTGTCAGGATAACATTAAGGTAAGGTGTTGCGTTTTTTGCGGTAGCTTTGAAGCGGTTTGGCAGACGGGGGAACCTTTGGAATCCTCAGGCAGAGAGTTCCGGAATTTATGGCCTTTTATAGGCACTGAGTTTTTTTTACACAGGTTGAACTGGACACGTGGGGTATCAAAGAGATTTTTGTGTGTTGTATTATGTCTACGAGTCCTTTAGCAAATATCAAAGAAGAGTTTCAGGTTAAGGTTTATTTTTTAATTGACTGCTCTGTCTATATAGTATGTATAGTAGTATGAGTGAATATTACGTACAGTGAGTAATATTTTGAAGAGGGGAGGGAGTTGTTGTCTGGTACTTGATTAAGTGATCATTCACACAGCCGTTTTTTGTCAAATTAGACACCCGTGTAACACTTTGGACTCTTTATTGTGGGAACGTTTCACCACACTAGTGTTTAGTGGTAATTAAGATAGTTATGAGGAAGGTGGGCGGGGTGGGGGAGTGATCACCAGTATTGTCTGTGATTATCCCATCTTGCAAGGAGCTATTATATTGACCCAGATATGGTCAAATGAGGACGCAGTCGTCTCAAAAATTCTTGTAGGCTTAATTAAAGTTGATATTAGCCAGCAGTCGTACATGTTGTTAAGGCAGGTAACTACTTCGGGTCTTCAACATGGATAAAATATACTTTCAAGTCTCCAGAAATATTTTTTTTTCACACATTCACTTGTCTTATTCAGTGGACACAATTGTAGAGTGTGATTCATGAATTTCCTTTGTTACATTTGACTAACGTATTGCATAGTCATAATATATAAGTTTATTTAGGCACAGGTATACATAAGTACAACTATCATACATAGTGTAAATTACGTAGGATAACAAAAACAAAAGAGCAGACAAATAACTTAATTCCACTAAGGTCCTTGACTTATTTCCGTATTTTCTCTCTGCTATTAGTGTTTAATAGTTTAAGTAAGTTTATTCAGATAAATACAGTTACATAGATTATCATACATAGCAGCGTATGTGTAGAGAATTTAGGATAACCCAAAGAAGTCAGACAGAGTGACTTATTTCCATTGGTCTGAGTATTTAGAGAATAGCTAGTTGCGTCAACTCTTACGTCAATGACATTATCTTTCTAAATTAGCTACCGGAACTTTCGCTTTATTTCTCAGATACTCCTCTTACATCTATCATAGAAATCATAGTACTAGGGGGAGGGGAGCACTTTGTAGTACCCACAGTCAGTAGCCAGGCTTCAAACACCTTTTATTGTACAGCAATAAAGGAATGGAACAGACTGCCTGCTCATGTCAAAGCCAGTCATAGCATGAACCAGTTCAAGAAGAGTGCCAAAAGGTGTCTGATGAATGTAGCTACAGAAAGGAAGGGGAATGATTTTATATTTTTTAGCTAACACACGTGTAATTTTACCTTATTCCTAGTAATGACCCTCGTATTGTAGATAGTCTTAATGACCCTCGTGTAGTAGATAGTCTTTTTAGTATGATATTAAGATGTTATCTTCATTATAGAATAATAATGAGATATTACAACCTTTATATTATAATAATAAGGTAAAAGGACCCCAATGGAAATAAGTCACTCTGTCTGACTTTTTTCGGGTTATCTCAGGGTTTTCTACACATATGCTGCTATGTATGATAATCTATGTAGCTGTATTTGTGTATACCTGAATAAACTTACTTATCTTCCTCGCTCAGTATCCCTCAAGGATATTGCTACTCCGTTTTCTTTCATACGATCCGAAATAGGATATTCACAAGGCAACTTAACCAGGAGTTCCAGAGGTTGATAATAGCAAAACACTTCGTATGCTTAAACGTAAAGAATGATATTCTTTTCCCACATAATGTATCTGATTCTATTCAAAGGCAAAATATTATTTTGTTAATGTCTTGCCTCCCTCAAGAACATATACAAATACATGTGCCTGTGCTAAAGCTCCCGCTTCAACACACGAGGGCCGGGTTCGATTCCCGCGGTGGAAACATTCAAACACTTTCCCCTTACACCTGTTCCGTCACCTAGCAGCAAAAAGGTACCTGGGTGTTAGTCGACTGGTGTGGGCGCATCCGGGGGACAAATTAAGGACCCCAATGGAAAAATTAAAAGTCCTCGTTAAACCACTGACTTCCCTTGGTTATTCTGGGGCTAACCTCCGGGTTAAAAATCCGAACGAAATCTTATCTTATCTACCATTCTATTTACCCTGCTTCGATAACTTAATTACAACAGAAGCCCAGCTTAGAAACATTCTTCACATAACACAAAAAACCCACACACACAGAGCAAGGACCCAGGAAAACAAGGAGATTAGTAGAAGGCCAGAAACGAGTAAGCGCAGATAAGGGGGGAGGCCCACGCAGTATGAAAACGACATAGCATCGAAGTCAATCGACCCGAAACTGCTGTATAGCCATTAGGAGGAAGACAACGCCCAAGGACCAGGGATAAGGCGAGAAAGAAGGTGGAGACCCCCAAGAAACGACAAGAGGATGTGAGGACCAACACGAATTTAAAGGAAGATTTACAGTAGAGACGGGGACTCGGGGGCCCGACCAGATGGGACACCAACAGGAAACACCAACAAGTTTGACGACATACTACAGATGAGGAGGAGGTGAAAAACTGCTATGGGAATCGAACCTCAAAGGCAAGGGACCGGACAACATCTCTCCATGGGTCTAAGAGAGGGAGCAATATGTTTGTGTACCACTTACCACAATCTCACACATCCTTGGAACTGGCAACTACCTGAGTATGGAAAGACAGCAAATTAGTTCCCATTTCAAAAAAGGAGACAGAAAAGGGGCACTAAACTATAGACCGGTAAATGACGTGTATATATGCCAAAATTATTGAAAGATTATCAGGGGGAGAGTGTGGAGCACCTGGAACGGAACAGGAGATAAATGCCAACCAGCAGGGATTCACGAAGGAAAATCCTGTGTCAAAAACCCTTTCCCTGGATTTTTATGATAAAATAACAGAAGTAAGACAAAAAGAGAGAGGGTGGTGATGGGCATTTTCTTGGGACTGCAAGAAGGCTTTTGACACAGTTCCTCACAAGTATTAGTGCAGAAGCTAGAGCTCAGGCGCATATACAGGAAGGGCAATGCAATGGATCAGAGAAAACCTCAGGGGGGCAACAACGAGTCATGGTACTTATGATGTAATCACAGTGGGCACCTGTACGAGCGGCCCCAGGGGTCGGTCCTAGGACCAGTGCTTTTTTGGTATATGTGAACGCATGACGGAAGGGTTAGACTCAGAATTTGTCCCTGTTTGCAGATGAGTGAAGTTAATGAGGAGAATTAAATCTGATGAGGACCAGGCAGGACTTCAAAGAGACCTGGACAGACTGGACACCTGGTCCAGCAAATGGCTTTTCGAATTTAATCCTGCCAAATGCAAAGTCATGAAGATAGGGGAAGGGCACAGAAGACCACAGACAGATATAGGGTAGGTGGGCCCAAAGACTGGGAAACCTCACTCAAGGAGAAAGATCTTGGGGTGAGTATAACACCGAGCATGTCTCCGGAAGCACACATCAATCAGATAACTGCTGCAGCAAAATGGGGGCCTGGCAAACCTGAGAACAGCATTCCGACACCTTGTAGGAATCATTCAAGACACTGTACACCGTGTATGTCAGGCCCATACTGGAGTATGCGACCCCGTTTGGGAAACCCCCACTTTATAAAGCACGTCAAGAAACTAGAGAAAGTACAAAGGGTTTTCAACAAGGTTAGTTCCAGAGCTAAGGGGGAAAGTCCTATGAAGAAAGATTTAAGGGAAATCGGCCTGACGACACTGGAGGACAGGGGGGTCCAGGGAGACATGATAACGACATATAAAATACTGCGTGGAATAGACAAGGTGGACAAGGACAGGATGTTTTCCCGGGAGGGGACACAGAAACAAGAGGCCACAATTGGAAGTTGAAGACACAAATGAGTCAGAGAGATAGTAGGAAGTATTTTTCTTCAGTCTAGAGTTTGTAAGGGAGTGGAAAGCCTAGAAAATGACGTAGTGGAGGCAGGGAACCTACACAGTTTTAAGACGAGGTTTGATAAAGCTCATGGAGCGGGGAGAGAGAGGGTCTAGTAAAAAACCGGTGAAGAGGCGGGGCCAGGAAACTAGG